TGTGTGTGCTGTTGTGGGGTGTGTGCTGTGGAATGTGTGTGCTGTTGTGGGGTGTGTGCTGTGGAATGTGTATGCTGTTGGGTGTGTGTGCTGTGGAATGTGTGTGCTGTTGGGTGTGTGTGCTGTGGAATGTGTGTGCTGTTGGGTGCGTGTGCTGTGGAATGTGTGTGCTGTTGTGGGGTGTGTGCTGTGGAATGTGTGTGCTGTTGTGGGGTGTGTGCTGTGGGGTGTGTGTGTTGTGGGGTCCGTGTGTGTTGTTGGGCGTGTGTTGTGGGGCATGTGTTGTGGGGCATGTGTGCTGTGGGGTGTGTGCTGTGGGGTGTGTGTGTTGTGGGGTCTGTGTGTGTTGTGGGGTGTGTGCTGTGGGGTGTGTTGTTGGGGGTATATGCTGTGGGGTGTGTGTGCTGTGGGGTGTGTGTTGTGGGGCATATGTGCTGTGGGGTGTGTGTGCTGTGGGACGTGTGTGCCGTGGTTGCATGTGCTGTGGGTTATGTGTGCTATGGGGCGGGTGTGCTGTGGGATTCATGTGCTGTTCTATGGAGCGGGTATGCTATGGGGCATGTGTGCTGTGGGGTGCGTGTGCTGTGGGGCACGTGTGCTGTGGGGTGCATGTGCTATATGGCGGATATGCTATGGGCATGTGTGCTGTGGGGCACGTGTGCTGTGGAGTGCGTGTGCTATATGGTGGGTGTGCTATGGGGCACATGTGCTGCGGGTGCATGTGCTGGTCTGTGGGGCGCGTGTGCTGTGGGGTGTGTCTGCTATATGGTGGGTGTTCTGTGGAGTGCGTGTGCTGTTCTGTGGGGCGTGTGTGCTGTGGGCGCGTGTGCTGGTCTTTAGGATGCGTGTGCTGTGGGTGCATATGTTGTGGGTGCGTGTGCTGGTCTTTGGGCCGTGTGTGCTGTGGGTGCGTGTGCTGTTCTGTGGAGCATGTGTGCTGTGGGTGCATGTGCTATATGGTGAGTGTGCTATGGGGTGCATGTGCTGTTCTGTGAGGTGCGTGTGCTGTTCTGCGGGTCATGTGTGCTGTTCTGTGGGGCGTGTGTTCTGTGGGTACATGTGCTGTTCTGTGGGGCGCATGTGCCGTGGGCGCGTGTGCTGTGGGGTGCGTGTGCTGGTCTATGGGGCACGTCTGCTGTGGGGTGCGTGTGCTGGTCTTTGGGGCGTGTGTGCTGTGGGTGCGTGTGCTGGTCTTTTGGGCACGTGTGCTGTGGGTGCGTGTGCTGGTCTATGTGGCACGTGTGCTGTGGGGTGTGTGTGCTATATGGCAGGTGTGCTATGGGGCGCGTGTGCTGTGAGTGCGTGTGCTGGTCTTTGGGGCGCGTGTGCTGTGGGTGCATGTGCTGGTCTTTGGGGCGTGTGTGCTGTGGGTGCGTGTGCTGTTCTGTGGGGCGCGTGTGCTGTGGGGTGCGTGTGCTGTTCTGCGGGTCGTGTGTGCTGTTCTGTGGGGCATGTGTGCT